GCAAAAGGGCTCTCATATCAGTGAGATCTGTGAATGTGCACTTTTCTCAATCATCCTGAGTGAAAGATGGAATGACTTAATTACAAAAGCAACATATTATAGACAATTTATTACAAAAGCCATCACAAATTAAGCCAGTGTATTTTACTGATTTTACTGTAAAATGCAATAAAAACTACCTTAAGTGCTCTTTCCCTGTATCTGAACAGCCAACTGGATGTCTTTGGGCAGGGTGGTGACTCTCTTAAGTTGGATGGCACACGGATTAGTGTATTCAAATTAACCTGCTGGGTACTTCAGTAGCCTACTGAAGAACAATGATGGCAGGACTCTGAAACCTTAAGTTGATTTTGAATTCCCAGGTGATCTCTCTCTTATATTTGGAAAAGCAGTTTCTGGATCAGAAGCTGGGTTGATGACTTTCTCAATAATGAGATGAATTTCTCAAAGTGCGATAGTCCCAGGCCTGTACCACTGAGGTATTTTTCACTCTGCTGATGAAGCAGGCACCTTTATTGGCAACTTTAGTGGCCAGTTATTTGCAGGGTTGTTTCATACAGTTTGCTTGGATTAGACCATTTTCTCTTATCTAATACAAAGTCTTAGTCCATCTCTCTGACTGTTGTGCCCCTTTGGTTGCCCAATGAAGAACTAAGTTGCTGAGCGAGGGCAGGATGATACTTCTACAAAGGATCAAGCTGCTTTGCTGGTTGCAGATAAATTTTAGGATCAGTCTATTGCCTTAAAAAATGCCATTGGGGGCCTCCCCGGTGGCGCAGTGGTTGAGCGCTGGGTTGCGAAGCTGCCCGCGGCCTCTGCGGCGCCGGTTCGATCCCCGGCTGCTCCCTGGCCACTGGAGGAGGGTCCCGCATGGCGCGCAGACCTCTCCTGCCGCCCACTGCCCCCCTCAGCAGTGTGCTTTGGTCCTTCTGCCTGCTCTGCTCCCCGCTCTGGCTCTGGTGAATTCTCTCACCCTCCCGTGCTTCTGACTGTACCCAGTGCATGTATAAACAAACAAACAAACAAATAAATAAATAAATAACATGCCTCTATTAAAAAATAAATAAATAAAATGCCATTGGGATTTTTTAGATATTTCATTTCTCTCTTCTTAGTGAGCTTAGTCAAGGGTTTATCAATTTTGTTAATCCTTTCAAAGAACCAGTTTGGTTTCATTGATCTTTTGTGTCATATTTTTAGTGTCCATTTATTTATGTTTTAATTTTTATTTAATTTTTTATTTAATTTTTATTTAATTTTTATTATTTTTCCTCTCTACTGATTTCTGGTTTCACTTATTCTTTTGCTAGTGCCTTCAGATGTAAAGTTAAATTGTTTGTTTGAGATTTTTCTTGTTTATTGATGTGGGCCTGCATTGCTATGTACTTCTCTCTTACTACTGCTTTTGCTGCATCCCATAGAATCTGGAAGCTTGTCTGTTCATTTTTGTTGGTCTCCAGATAATTTTAAATTTCTTCTTTGATTTCTTCATTGATCCAGAAATTATCAAAAGCATATGTTAAGTCATCACATATTTGACTTTTTTCTGGGTTTTTTTTTTTTTTTTTTTTTTTTGGTGGTTCATTTTCTATCTTTATACCATTGTGTTCAGGAGAGATGCTTGATAGAATTTCAATTATGATGTATTTATTAAGATATGTTTTGTTTTCCAGCATATGATCTATGCTTGAGAAAGTTTCATATGCACTTGAGTAGAATGTGTTTTCATTTCTTTTGGGAGGGAGGGCTTTGTAGGTATCTGTAGTCCATCTGATGCATAGCTTCACTTAAGGCTGTTATTTACTTATTTACCTTCTGTCTGGATGATCTATCCATTGATGTAACTGGTGTACTGAGATCCTACTATTACTGTGTTGTCAATGGTTGCTTTAGTTCTGTTAGTAGGTTTTATATATATATATATATATATATATATATATATATATATATATTTGGGTGTATCTCTGTTGGGTGTATAAATACCAATGACAGTTCAACTTGAGGAATTGTCTCCTTAATCATTATAGTGCCTGACTTTGTTCCTTATTACCTTTTTTGAATGTCTAGTTTATTAGATACGAGAAAGGTAGTTCTTTGTCTCTCTTATTGGCTTGAAATATTTTGCTGTAGGCTTTCAATTTAAGTCTGTTTGTCTTTAGATTTGAAATGTGTTTTTTATGTGTAACATATCTGGGTTATGCTTTTTTGCCCAACCTGTCATTTGTGTCTTTTAATTGTTGAGTTTAGAACTTTCACATTTAAGGTGGTTATTGATATAATGCCATTCTTTTTTATTTGGATTGTGGTTCTCTTGGTTTCTTAATTTCTTCCTAGAATAAAGAAAAGTCTTTATTCTAGATTTTTGTTTTGTGGTTTACCATAAGGGTTATATCAGACTTTCTGTGTCAAATAATAGCCCTTTTTGTATAGGTATCAACTTGTCATCATGTGACTATAAAGATTTCTTTTCTCCTTTAATATTTTGTATTTGTCTCGTTATTCTTGTTTACTCTTTTGGTTCCATGTTACTCTTTAACACCTAGATCAAGGTTTTGTGTTTGTTTGTTTTTTTAGAAGAACTTTTAAAATTTCTTGTAGGTTCAGTCTGGTGGTGGTAAACTCAATTAACTTTTTTTTTTGCCTGGGAAAACCTTTATTTCTCTATCATTTTAATGATAATTTTGCAGGATTTGTAGTGGCTGGCAATTTTTATCTTTAAAAACTTTAAATATGTCATTCCACTGTCTTTTAATCTTGTGCATAGCTGCCAAGAAATCTGAAAATCTGATAGAGGCACCTTTATATGTTACATCTTTTTTCTCAGGCTTGTGCCTGATTCTTGGCTTGTTCTACTGGCTGGAATGGTTGATGCCCTGACCATAGTTCCCCCTCTTTCTCCTTCTTCTGTTCCCATGATAAGCAACCAACCTTGAGTAAAATATCCATGGGCCAGTTCCTGAGGTTGGCAATGAACTGTTGAAATTTCCCATGAGCAAACCTTAGCTTTTTATTTTTTTTTCTGATTGTGTTTATGGGAGAGGTTTATGAAAACATCTCTATTCCATCATATTGTGATTGGAATCTGAATCAATTTTAGAGTCTTCACGCACACTCATTCATTCCTTGGGTACCAGAGGCTTGGGATTTGGACACTTTTGGATTTCAGCACACTTACTGTTCTGTGAGTTTGGGCAAATTATTCAGTCTCGATTTACTAATCTGTAAAATGAAATTAGTGTTAGTGTCCTTAAAGAGTTGTTGAGTATTAAGATAAGGCGCACATAGTCTTTATTACATCTTGATACCTGTGTGTGCAATAAAAGTGTTACTGTTTGTTAAGGGGGTATTGTTTTAGTTATCTTGTTGCTGCATAACCAGTCAAACTTAATAGTGTAAAGCAACAATCATTTAACTCCTTGTTCTGTTTGTGTGTGTGTGTTAGGACTTTTTGGTCACATGGTGGCTAGACCTGCAGCAGTAAGGGCAGAACCAGCTCTGGAGGTGACGAGGAGGCACAGAATCTCTCTTTTGCTGTAGTCTCAGGAATTCCTTATGTGGCTGGCCTCTTGGCATGGTCCATTAGGGAGCTGGACCACTAACTATATCACCGTTTATAACCTAACCTCAGAAATCACATTTTCACTTCTGCTTTATTGTATTAGTTAAAACAGTTCCACAAGCCTGCTCAATTTTAAAGGGAAGTGACATAAACCATCCCACCGTTTGGGAGAGTGATGTGAGATGAGCCATGTTGGAAAATACTGTTTGCTACAGCAGACCAAAGATGAATACATACCCAGTAATGGTAAAACTGGGACTCGATTTGAATTTTGATAGTAATGTTAGTGTGTATAACCATTATAATGAACTAATTTATCCATATACTGACTCCTTATGTTGGGCTGAGAAGGGATCTTGTTTTGGAGAATGCTTTGTAGCTCCAGGAAACATTAGGATCAAAGAAACTAAGTTGTGAAACCCTGGGACTTTGGAAAGGCAGCTCAGACTCTTAAATTGGGAGGAATCCTGCCTGCCTGTACAGACCATACTGATGAGTTTAAGTGATTTAGCTACTGTCAGGCTGCCACAGAAACTTTTTTTGGGGGGTTCTCTCTCTTTTTTTTTTCCAAAGATTTATTTATGCATACAAGAGCTGGGGTACAGGCCAGAGATGGCAGGGGGTGGGGGTGGGCGGGGTGAGAGGATTCACCGGAGACAGAGTGGGGAACAGAACAGGCAGACTGACTGAAATACACTGCTGAGGGGAGCAATGGGTGAGACAGGAGAGTTCTGCTTCGCCATGTGGGTTTCTCTCTGGCTGGCAGGGGATTGAACTCATGCTGCAGAGGCTGCGGATTGCTTCATAGTGCGGTGCTTAACCCCTTGCGCCACCGGGGAGCCCCCACAGAAATTTTTTTGAAGTTCTTATGTGAGGTCTCAGTAGAAAACTGACTGTACCGGGTTGAAACAGGAAAATCAATTCATTTTCTTTAGAATGAAAGAGGGGGAAATCCCCATATAGTAATAATGGGATTTGAGAACAACAATTTTGCTTTCTTTCTTTTTTTTTATTTTAAGTAGTCATTTGCCCCATAGAAACAATTGTTTCTCATTCATTGTCTTTTTGGAAGTCAATTAGTATTCTTTTATTGCGCCTCTGCTGTGTTGGGCACCAAGTATATAAATAATTCTTATTCTTTATGAAGGAGTAAGTGTTATAACAATAATGACACTTCATATTTATGTGGTTTTTCTTAAGTTTCTATTATATCGGTGACTATGGATTATTCAAACAGAAAGATAAATCATCTATGATTTCTTTTTTCTTGACTAGAGAAGAAATCTAAGTTATTTAGTTTATAAAATATTAAAGAAATGTTGAGAAATTTCCTTTAAAAATGGCTGATAGACTTTAGTGGATATGTATATACTATCACTGATGGTTGCTTATGCTACTTTGTAATCTGGAGGCTCTATGAAACTTTGTATTAAATCTGCAGATTAACCCTCCCTGGAAGAATTGTGGAAAATGGAAATGAGCAAGGATCCTATGATGCAGATAAAGGTATTGCCTTTTGAACTTTTGCTTATTTTTCTTTGGATTCTTCATGTTAGGCTAACTATATAATCTTTCCAAATACAGTTGGGACTTTTAGACATATTGTAAGTACAATCTATCTCTGTCGTTCTATTATTTCTTAATGTCCATTGACTGTTAGTTGTGGATTTCTGGACAATTACAACTTTCTCAGTCCTTTAAAGCATTTCATAATATTTTTCAAAGTAAAGTTCAATATGCTGGTTAATAATAGTTAAATATGCTGATCTATTTACTAGAAGTTTTATTTCCTACTTTCCCTACACTTAGTAAGTGTTTAAAAGTTAAGTGTGAGGTGATTGATTAGAAAAGATAAGGATGAATTTGTAGGCTGTGAGTCAAATCTTGTACAATTTTCAGCTTAAAATTTAAAAACATGTAGGTGAAAGAGGAACTGTTCATGGGTTATTGAATTTAAAGACTGAATTTTCTTCTCATGATTCATTTAAGAAAAGCATGAAACAATTTGTTTTCCCTTTGGAGAAGCCAGTAGATTTTCCACTGGATCTGGAATAAGAACACCTTGTATTTTTTTACATAATTTATGAATGAGTAATTACTTACATCAGTGAACCCCGGATAAGGGAGGAGAGATGGGATGAGAGTTAAATCACAAAATTTTAACCCAAAACACAGTGTAATTAATGTAATAGTGAAGTATAATGAACCTGCCTTCGTAGGTAGTAAATCTTCTAATTTTAGATAATTGCATGTTGAAACAAAGTTATTCAGTTTTAAAATTGCATAGGGGTTTAGGAATGTTGTATATGTAGTAATGTTTGAGTTAATTATATATTAGACTATAGTATGCTAAAAAGAGATAAAATGTTTTCAAAATGTGAGAGTAGTAAGTAATGTAATGAGTTCATAGGAGAATCTATAGTTGATGAACTCAATCAGGAAAGAAAAGAAATAACATAGAGCTTGATTCTGTTTTAGGCAGACTTTAGGGATTATTTCTTGAGATATCAGAGAACTTTATTAAGCAATAATTGCATTGTTTAAAACTGTATTTTTGAATTGCTATTATTCTCCATTAAATACCTTGATTTCCTCTTTATCTATTGCTTCCCCACCTCCAGAAATATATTGTATTAAGTAGCTACTGGTTAATTCTAAATTATTATCTCCTCATACCATTGGGTTTAAAAGTTTCGGCTTAGACTTTTAATATTATCGGCAGGTTAAGGTGAGACTATGTAAGACTAAAGTATTTTGCAGCTTAATATTTTCACTTCTTATAGAGGTAACAGATGAATCAGTGGTTCTGAAGAACTATATTTGAGCCTTTTTCTATTTTGATTTTTATTCACTTAATCTATAATAAGCATCTAATTTTAGAGTTCTGTGAAATGGAATAATGTTTTACTAAGACATATATATTTCTTAGATATATTTGGGAAGTCTGAGTATTTTAATCTAGCCAAATATAAAAGAAATTTATTTTTAAGGGATCTTTACCATTCGACTGCCCAAAGAAACTCCTGGCCAGCATTTTGAGGGACTGAACATGTTAACTGCTCTTCTGGCACCAAGGAAATCCAGAACTGCAAAACCACTTGTGGAAGAAGTAGGTATGTTTATCACAGTCGGGAGGAAATAAAGATAAGCACAATATTTGGATTGCTGTGTGCTTCTAGGGGGAAGGAATATAGCAATATGAAATTGGATAAAATACTTCAAGTGAGAAGATGAGGTCATGTGAAAAGAGCACATTTAGTGATATATGATTTAAAGACACAAGGAATTCTATTGAATCTGTAGGTCAGACATATTTTTGGACCAAGCTGTATCTCTATCTTTGGCAAAATATTAGCCTCTTGGGCTCAAATCAGATAAGTGGAATGAGTTACATGAAGTGAACGCGACCTAGGTTAAGAAATGGAACGTTTTCAACACCAGATTCCCATCCTGTCTCCTCTTCCCTCCCTTCTCGCCAATGTAGCTGCTACCCTCAGTTCTGCCTGTTTTTGAATTGTATATCTAATTCATATAGTATGCATTCTTTTTTGTCTGGCTTCTTTTGCTTAACATTTTTGTGAGATGTATCCATGTATAGCTGAGGTGCTTCTGCTTTCATTGCATTTATTCTTTAGATATCCTGCTACTATTGAAGACCTTTGTATTGGGCTCCATATTTTGGACTATCAAGAATAGCAGGCCTTGCATACTCTTATACATGTCTTTCGATGTACAGAAGTAGGCATATTTTCCTGTAATTTTCTTTCCCAAGTTGTACCTAAGATTACCAAAGCTTTGAAAAAATTAGTATTTAACACATTTAGGTGCTTCTGAGGTTTCTGAGGAAGGTGTTGAAGATGATGATGAAGAATTTGATTGGGAAATTGAACAGTCACCCTACGAAGAGGTATCCGAAAGTGCCCTGAATCTACAGTGTCACTATGGATTCGGAAACTTACGTTCAGGAGTATTTCAGAGGTTACAGGTATGTTGTCTTTCTCAAAGATCTTGGTGTACAGTAAGTCCTCACTTAGCATATATATATGTTCTTGAAAAGTATGGCTTGAAGTGAAATGCTGTATAATGAAAGCATATCTTCAATAACATTGTTTGTTCAAGTTTGGCTGAGATTGTTTTTTCCTCATTGAACCAAAGGTCATTTTATTCGAGGACCTGTTATATAGGACTTTATCATTTACATAGTTTAATTTCAGTTCTGCTCACTTTTAGAGACTTTGTATGAAGGTTATAGGAGATGATGTGTTTTGAACACAAATCACAGCTTGTATGCAGGTGTTACACAGATGCTTGTTCCTTCTATTGCGCTGGTTGTACTATCTGTTCTTTTGGTGCCTACAGATATAAATTGTCTTGCTATTTTCTGTTTTCTCCACTTCATTCAGTATTCTAGACATGAAGTTTCCAAAATATGAAAATGAAGCCCTTTTCTTCTCATATTTCTTGGGAAACCTGAAGTTCTGTATTTCTGAAAATTGAGTATCAAGTACTTAAGATATGATGTCCCTTATGTTTTATATATACAAGTGTGTGTGTCTGCCTATATAAAATATATATAAATACAAATATATATTTATAAAATTTAAATACATATATTTATGAATATATATAAAACCAAGAAGGATCCTGTTGAGAGTGAGTTTGTTTCTTGATCAAATTGCTTAGTTCTTGGGGGTACAGTAGGCACTTTTATTTATTTCTCTTTGATTGGAGGTTGAATGTAATCTCTTCTTAAAACTCAATCATTTGTCAGCCTAAAAAGAATTACATCCATTTTTCTTTCTTCCTCAAATAATCTAGGAAATTCTACTTCATTTTTAGTTGTATAGGAAAATTGAATGTCGGAGAGTAGAGCTTTTTGGATTAATTTATACATATGTGGCTTCATAAAAAATGGATCCCTGCAATGTTACATGGTAAATGTGTTTGAACCACTAACTCGGAGTCTTGATTTTTTTTTTTTAATGAAAGAAACAAGTGAGCAGATTTTTTCTTTACTCTCTGACTGGATTGAGGATGTTAAATCAGTTGAGAGTATGGCTGGTTTTAATAGGATATATGTGAGTTTGCCAACAAAAGGTGGAGAACCTATTTTGTAGTCCCGTTTCTACCTCTCTTTAGATTTGGACCACTTGTTTGACCACAAGTAAGTTTCGTTTGTAAAATGGGATAAAGCCACTCACCCAATTTAGGAAATGAAAGATGATGAACATTATGAAAACTCTTTGAAAGACGGATAGGGTGATAGAAGGACCTCTGCCCCTGAAAAATACCAAATGCTCTCAAGAGTTGTTAAAGGGAACAAAATTGGGAGCTGAAGAGCAAAATTTCTTAAGAGCAAATAATTCAGACACCCTAGATGTTTTTCTGCTGAATTATGGTCTCTCATTTATTCCTTCTCTCTAATCAATTCCTGAGGTAATTAGAATAGAGTCAGTTTTGCCTACACAGGAAACTACAGTGCATGAACCTCAGTTGCTTGACTGTGGCGGAAGCTAGTTTGCTCTCAATCTGTTTTAGATTTGCCTGTCTAAAGCTACAAATGAAGGATAGTAAAAGTCACACAGGCTAAGTATGCATTGTATGTCTGTGATTCCTGAGGCCAGGGAACTTTGCTTCTTAATTGCTGCTGCTGGCAAAAGGAGATCCTTTGGAAGGATTGTTGTCAGGTTGCTGAGAAGATTCAGGAAGGATGTCATGTGAGCTGAGGCCAAAGTCCTGTTAAGTCATAAGTTTTTGCATCTATTTAAAGTGTTCATGAAATTGTAGTTTAAGTTAATTTAAGAAAAAAATTATGAAATATTCTTTATATCTTCTTGAATGTCTTAACTAATGTACCAAATCCCTATATACCAGTTGCCTAGTTAAAAAAAATTAAATGTTCCCAATATAGTTGAAGCCCCTGTGTATCCCTTCCTGATTGCTTGCCTCTTGTTTCTCCTTTGGAAATGAACCACTGAATTTATTGTTTTCCAGCATTTAGCTTGCTTGTCTAAAATCACTAAACTGTTCTTCAAATTTTATTTATTTATTTATTTTTATTTTTAAAGATTTATTTATTTATACCAGCACTGGGCACAGTCAGAAGCATGGGAGGGCGAGAGAATTCACCAGAGTCAGAGCGGAGAGCAGAGCAGGCAAACTAAGTACACTGCTGAGGGGAGCAGCGGGCGGCAGGATAGGTCTGCTCACCATGTGGGACCCTCACCCGGTGGCCGGGGATCGAACTGGTGCTGCAGAGGCTGCGGGCAGCTTCACAGTAAAGCGCTCAACCGCTGTGCCACCGGGGAGGCCCCTTCAAATTTTAATTGAATGAAAATTTGCTATTGTAAACTATCCGGATGCATATTTTCCTCAGTGTATATGAGCTGCTGAAGCAAACACCATATTTTCTTCATTGTAGGGAAAAAAAAGGTTATACATGTGAAGAACTGTGAGGGATAACAAAATAGTAATACTGCTCGTGATACATGTTTATAACCCGACATGTGCAGGACTGGGAACACAAAAGCTGTTAACTGTAGATTTATTTTTAAATTCAGTTTGGTGACAAAATTTGAATTGGTATGAATCTTTTCAGAGTTTTTTGAAAACTCCCACTTAATGTGCATATTAAAAAAAAATTTGCTGTAGAAATAGAATATAAGGTGCCGTTCCATACTTCTTGAAAGGGGTTAAAATAAAATAGGGGATATGTATGTGTACCATACATATTCCTAAACTCTTCAAAGAAGAGTCTGAATGCTGAGGCTCATCCATCTCCAGGGGTTTTGGATATCAGAGATGGTCCTGCGGTGTCTGCATGGCAACAGCCAGCTACTGCTGATCTTTCCCTGACAAGGCACTGCGCTGGGCTTTTGTGTGTCCCCTGCAGCAACTGTTCTGTTGCGACATCTTTGTTCTTAGTAGGTGCACATTTTAGGTGGACAAATCAATAGGCAAAAGTGGTTTTTAAAGAAATTGTGTTTTCCTACATGAATTAAATTTGAAGACTGTGGTACCCTTCATGACAATTAGAAATTAACAGAACTTTTGAAAATCACATGTGAACCAAGGTGCCAAGAATTCAAGGATGCTCCCTTTAGCATGTTAGATGTATTTTATGAGCTAGTACCACAGAAACCTCACACAATTGGTATTGGTTGCACAGTTGTTTTGCTTTTACAGCCTCTTAATTTGTGTCATTCTTTTTTTTTTTTTTTAAAGATTTATTTATGTATTTATCAAGCACTGGGCACAGTTAGAAGCACAGGAGGGTGAGAGAATTCACCAGAGCCAGAGCGGGGAACAGAACAGGCAGACGGATGATACACTGCTGAGGGGAGCAGTGAGCGGCAGGAGAGGTCTCTACGCCATGCGGGACCCTCGCCTAGCGGCCGGGGATTGAACCGGTGCTGCAGAGGCTGCGGGCAGCTTCACAACCCAGCGCTCAACCACTGCGCCACCCGGGGGGTGGGGGGGGTGGGGGGGGTGCAATTTGTGTCATTCTTACCATGTGGATTAAACATGGATGACCATGTAAGATTAACAATATGACATATTTCTTGCTTGTAGAGAAACTAGAACAAAATCAAAATGAGTACTGCATAAATAAGTGTTTTGAGAACATATCTTTTAATTTAAAGTGGTGTGTTTAAGAAGCCTAACTTTCTCACAAGTTTAGTTTCTCTAGTTCTGCCTTGGATGAGAAAATAGCCACAAAGTTTCATTGACCACTTATGTGAGTATTTTCTCTCATTTTTCTCAAGATAAAAGCCATATATATATATTCATTATAAAGATGGAACAAAGAAAGTAAAAGTCATCCATAATTCTAATTCCAGTATTCAAATATCTTCTCTTCATTGGACAATTTAACTGTTTATGGGGGAGGGGTATATAGTTTTTTGTTTTTACCTTTCAACCATTTACGCAGTATGTGCTTGTGAACTTTGTTTTATACTATAAGAAGGACATAAAAATATTTTTGCTGAAACAAATTTCTTAACATTCATGCCCCTCCCCCCGGACCACCCCTCCCCCCAACACACACGTCTCTCTTTTTTTTTTTTCCCCCTGAAATTTCTGCCAGTTACCACATGCCTTTGGAAAATTGCCCTGACTGCTCAAAGTCAGGACTTCACAACATGCCTCTGGCAGTGGGTGGCTGCCAGCAGCAACCATCCTAAAGTCTCTGGGTGCCAACCCAGCAAGCTCCAGGGACCACTGCTGCCAGACACCATGGGACACAGCCTGTTGGCCCTTTTCTTCCCTCGGCACTGGGGACCTTTGTTTCCAGGAGCTCTACTGGCAGGATGTGCTCCTAGTTCTCCATTTAGTTATGCCTGAACTTACATAAGCTTGATTTAAATCCCCACGACCTTTTCTTGGCAATGTCCATCTTTAAATAGCTCCCATAACGGGCCAGAGCAATGCTGGAGAAAGAATCACTTTCTTCCTGCTGTAGTTCAAAAGTTATCGTCCTCTTTTCTTCCTTCCTTTGGCTGATTGATGTCTGAGGCAGATTTCTCTGTGCCAAATTGACCTTGTCTTTTAGTTTGTTCCCTTTTTGTTTGAAGGACTCACTTGAACAGGGTCAGTCTGTGTGGTTGTGTCTAGGACAAACCTGGGCAGGGCCTACACTATTGTGGATGGTCACTTTCTGTGGGGAACAAGGTGTGTACCTGCATTTGGAGGCCCTGCGCCTGAGGTAAGGGGGAGGAGATAGAGAAAGGATAGTGGCATTCTTTTGTTTCTCATTCCCATGAGAGCAGGGACCTTGTGTGTGTGTTTATTTCTGGGTACCCAGCATCCAGAACAATGCATAGCCTAGAGCTAACTGACCCTGTAAGGGCAGGACTGGACCCGGTGCAGGTTTTCTGATCCCATGCAGATCGGGTAAAGGAGGAGTCAGAGTCCTCAGTAGTTTTGCAGGTTTTTTATTTGGGGTTCACCAGGCATATGGCAGGCAGGGGTGCTGGCTGGGGG